AAGGAAAAGAATTTTCCCAAGGAGTCACACTGATAATCAGGGTTTTGCAAAGGTGCAGGACTGATGATAAGGGTTGCTTAAAACCAAAAATTAGCCCTAGTGAAGACCCGTTGGTGTTGATTCGTCCTAAAGAAGCGGTCGATCCTGTATTTGTGCTTGAATGGTCATGATAACAGTCGGCTGTGGTCTAGCGGGTCAGGGCGTCGGCGATGTTGGTGGTGCCCTTCTTGTATGTGATGGTGTAGCGGAAGTTTTACTCCAGGTATTTAAGCCACCGAATTTGTCACCGGTTGAGTTGTGGTTGGCTGCGCATACATTGTAATGACTTGTGGTCTGTCTTGATCGTGACGTCGGCTCCTGTGAGGTAACAGCGTTAGGTACGAAATGCATACACGATGGCGAGCAATTTTTTGTCGTGTACAGGGTAGTTGCGCTCGGGCGGGCGACTTCCTTTTCCGTGACTCATACGTGATTGGTTGCAGCCCCTTGCCGTAGTCTTGTAGAAGGACGGCGCCGACGGCGAAATCGCTGGCGTCCGTCACGACTTCGAACGGTCGAGATGGATCTGCCAGCCGAAGCACCAAGGGTGAACTCTATTTTTTTTTTTTAGCTCGTTGAAGGCCAACTGTTCTCTCTCCCCCCAAAGAAACTGTGCGCCTTTGTGCAGAAGATCAGTTAACGGCCTGGTTACCCCCGCCATTTCCGGTACAAAACGGCGGACGTAGTTAACGAAGCCAAGGAAACTCTGCAACTTCGTGATGTTCGTGGACGGTTTCCACTACTGCTGTCACTTTGTGAGGGTCAATTTTAATACCCTCTCGCGAAACAACGTGTCCCAGGAACTCCAGCTCCAGCAGTAAGAACTCGCACTTAGAGCCCTTCGTAGTCAGTCGGTCTGTTGCAAGCACCGAAACACCTCCTCCAAATCCCGTAATTACTCCTCTCAAGTCTTGCTGTACACCAGGATATTGTCCAAGTAAACGATAACATTATTGTCGAGCATGTCTCGAAAAACCATATTCATGGTGAGCTGGAACGTTGATGATGCGTTTGTCAACCCGAACGACATCACTGTATACTCGTAACTGCCATAGCGGGTGCAAAAAGCCATTTTTGGGCAGCCGTCGGCTGGCACGCGAATTTGATGATAGCCACCTCATAAATCGATTTTCGAGAAGAAGCGAGCCCCGCGAAGCTAGCCCAGCAGGTCGTCCGCTTGCAATTTTGGGTAACGTGGCTCGATTGTGATTCGATTCAGCGCTCGATAGTCGATACACATGCGCAGGCCTCCGTCCTTCTTCGGCGTGAATAGTACCGGGGTGGCGAACGGTGACGTGCTCGGCCGAATGAATCCCTTCGAGTGCAGATAAACCAGCTGTTTCCGCAACTCGTCGAGCTCCGGTTGGCTGAGCCGCCACTGAGACCAAGCAGTTGGTTGCACGCCAGGCTCCAACTCGATCCTGTGGTCTTCTGTTCATTGAGCTGGCAGGCTGTCAGGCAGGTTATCCGCGAAAATGTCGGGATACCTCTGAATTATGCTCGCCACGTCATCTGGTACAGCAACGCAGGGCGTGTCAATGTCGGCGATTTTCTTGGATGCAACCACCTCGTAGAGCTGTATGGCATGGCTTTGCGCTCCCCGTTTTATCGCTCTTGTCAGCGTTATCGCATTGACACGTGTCGTCGTCCGCTCTGGCTCCGTCCATTTTGGAAGCGTCACGCGTCCCTTGTTGCTTAGCACCGTGCAAGCTCCCGTCGTCTAGTCAATTGTCCGATTGTATCGCTGCAGCCAATCTCGCCCCAGCAGCACATCCCAATTGTCCAGCGTTGTCGTCAGCATCTTCATAAAAAACCCGAAATCGTCGCCACACTTCATCCGAATTTGTCGCACTCGTCCTGTATCGCCACCGGTGTCCCATCCACCAGCCTTGCATCGATCTCCCACAGACACCTGTCCAGCTTAGCTCCAATAATTTTTGCCGTTGCCAGGTTGACGAGACTGTGGCTCGCCCCACCGTTAACAAATATTTTCAATTTATAATTGTTAACCCTCCCCACTACCAGCACACGGTGATCCACGTATTCATCCACTTTATTCGTCCGGTTGCGGTCGATAACCTGTATCAGTACCATTACTCGGTGTGGATGGTGATTGTTGCGCGACGGGGTCTTGTCAGTAGGTCGCGCAACTGCTACTGAATCGTCTCTTTTCTCGACCCCTCTCCGTCATTCATGTTCCCTACTTCAGCTTCGGGCAGTCTTTGCTCCAGTGGCCTTGTTGGTTGCAGTTGAAGCACGTGTTTGGGGCACATCTTGGCGCATCTACACCGTTGATTGTGGGTTGGCGAGGCGGACCACCAAATCGGTTTACCTTCCGGGAACTTATTCTTGCCCACTGCATCAGCGCGTCCGCTGATTCGGCCAGCTGGACAGCATCGTTAAAGTCACGTGGCCCCGTACGTCGCACCTCAAACTGAACATTGCTTTTGAGGCCCGCGACGTATCTGTCGAGCCACTCCTCGTAACTCATGTCGTCCACTCGGTCGGCCAAGGCGCAGAACGTCGCCGTGTAGTCTTGGACCGATGTCACCTGCTTCCAGGCATGCAGCTTCTGTCAAGATAGTAAGTAGGAATGATTGCATTGAATGATTGTGGGTACAGGTACTAACCCTAACATTGGGTTGTACCCCATATGGGCTACCCCACTATAGCCTATACATAGCTAGCAGAGATATAGTTTGACACATCCCCATAGGCAAAGTGGGGAAGAACAAGGGGTCACAAGACCAGTCAAGAAAAGCAAAGCAAGCTCAGGGTGGATCACGTCACCACACACTCCGAGCACAAGCAAAGGGCCACAAGGCCAGTTTACATGCAGAGGTATATATGTAACAACAACAGTACAGTGATCACTACCTAGCAAGAGAAAGCATGCAGGTATATATATAGATCACAGTACAAGCAAAGCCTACAGCAAGTGAGGAAACGTAGGCACCAGGCCTAGAGCAGTGCAGAGCCGTTGATGATCACCAGCCGGAAGGGCCTTGGTGAACACATCAGCAGTGTTGGCCCGGGTGGCCACGTGAACGACACGAAGCTGACCTCGATGCTGCAACTCTCGAGCAAGGAAGTAACGCAGAGCGATGTGCTTCGTTATGTGCTCCAGTCTGTGCTCCTGACAAAATGTAATGACAGCCTTGTTGTCAACGTACAGAACTGGAGGAGAACGAGGCCTCTCTCCCAAGTCGGTTAGCAGGTAGGTGAGTGAGCATAACTTCTGTGCAGCCATAGCTGTGGCGTAGATCTCAGCCTCACAACTAGAGCTGAGAACAGAAGACGAGCGGGTAGACCGCCAAGAAACAGAGCCACAGCCAAGGCTGAAAGTGTAACCCTGTGACGACCGCTGCGTAGCCTGGTCGTCAACCCAAGATGTGTCCGAGTATCCTGTGAGGACAACCTCACCCCGTCCTCCAAGCACGAGCCCCATGCCCGATGTACTGCACAAGTAGCGCAACACCCTCTTAGAAGCCTCGAAGTGCTCTTGCCGGTGTCTCCCAGGCGCAATGTAGCGAGCCAGGATGCTAAGGGGGTACGCAAGGTCAGGTCGAGTGCAGGTCATCAGGTACATGAGGCAGCCCACAAGCTCTGGATACGGGCCACTCGGCTCTACGGACTCATCCGAAGGCAGAGCTGAGAGCGAGTGACCGGTAGCCATAGGAGTGGACTGTGGCGAGGACCAAGTGAAGCCGAAGCACTGAAGGACCTGCTGCACCATGTGTGACAGGGTCAGTGTGATGGTGCACTGTGCTCTGTCCCGGGTGATCTGCAAGTCAAGGTAGCTGCATAGCTCACCTAGGTCTGTGCACGTGTGTCTCTTCTGCAACTCCGACTTCACAAGGGCGAGTGCCTCAGTGTCAGCAGTAGCAAAGACCAAGTCGTCGACGTACATGAGGATGTAGAATGGCGGCAGCGAAGTGTCAGTGCGCAGAAACAGCGACGGGTCAGCTGTCGAAGGAGCAAACCCAAGAGCCGCAAGTGTCGTCCTCAGTGTGTCGTGCCACTCACGAGGCGCCTGGCGGAGACCATAGACTGGCCGGCGGAGGCTCCACTAGGTACCAGGAGGGAACGACCCAGTGAAGCCAGGTGGGCGGCGCAGCCAGATCTCCTCGTGCAGACTGCCCTGTAAGAAGGCTGTGCTGAAGTCAAGAGAGTGAAGCTCGTAGTCACGCTGAGCGGCAACGTGCAGCAGCACCCGAAGAGTGGTCATCTTCGAGGTGGGGGAGAAGGTCTGGAAGAATTCAACTCCCTCTCGCTGACTGAAGCCTCGTGCAACATAACGAGCCTTGAAGACAGGCGGAGAACCCGGTGGCCGCTTCACATTGAAAATCCGCATGCCATCGACGATGTTCGCCCCAGGTGGGGGAACCTCATCGACGTAAGTGCCTGTGGACTTCCAGGATGCCATCTCTGCGTCCATGGCTATCTGCCACTGAGAGGAGTAGGGACTCGTAATCGCCTCTGCGTAAGAGCGCGGGGTCGGGATATCTGGTGCATCCGGGTCTCCCTCAAAGGCAAGCACCATGGCCACGAGATGAGGTACAGCAGCCGCAAGACACTCAAAGTCCTCCTGCCTGTCCTCAAGGACGTCCGTGCCAAGAGCACACTCACCCCCAACGGACGGAGGACACACAGACTCAGACTCAGCAACAAGACTAGCAGCGTAGTCTAGACGACAGGCAGCAGCAAAGTCAACAAGCTCAGAGACTAAGGCAGACGCAGCAGCAGACTCAAACGAAGGGTCAGTGACAACAGTGGCGAGCAGACGCGTGACAGTAGGGTGAGCAGCACGAACCAGGTCAGACTCAGGGTCTGGAACGTCAGGCAGAGAAGACGCAGGAGGAGATGGCAGAAGAACGCGTTGTGGGACAGAGGAAGGACGAAGTGCCATAGCGTGCGTGCCAGGGACAGGAGGCGGACGCTCACGAGGAACACGACGACCAATGCAACACGTGCGAACAGGCGAGGCAGGACGAGACGCAGGCTCACGACGCTCTGTAAGCGAGTCAGTCTGCTCAGTGTAAGGAGAAGGAGCAGGCAGTGGGGAGCCTGGCTGTAACGGGAGGCCAGTAGAAGACGGGAGGCTAAGAACCTGGCGAAGCAGGCAGTCAGGCGGTGGCAGAGACGACGGTGACGGCGGAGCGAAAAACAGTCGCGGCTGTGCAGTGCCACCAGCACCAGTAGCGCCATCGCCTCCAGCAGCTCCAGAACTTCTAGCTCCAGCGCCTCCAGCAGCTCCAGAACCACCAACTTCGGCGCCTCCAGCAGCTCCAGAACCTCCAGCTCCAGTGCCTCCAGCTCCAGCGCCTCCAGCAGCTCCAGAACCGCCAGCTCCAGCGCCTCCAGCAGCTCCAGAACCTCCAGCTCTAGCGCCTCCAGTAGCTCCAGAACCGCCAGCTCCAGCGCCTCCAGCAGCTCCAGAACCGCCAGCTCCAGCGCCTCCAGCAGCTCCAGAACCGCCAGCTCCAGCGCCTCCAGCAGCTCCAGAACCTCCAGCTCTAGCGCCTCCAGCAGCTCCAGAACCTCCAGCTCCAGTGCCTCCAGCAGCTCCAGAACCTCCAGCTCTAGCGCCTCCAGCAGATCCAGAACCTCAAGCTCCAGGGTCTCCCGCCTCAGTACCTCTAGGCGCAGCACCCCCAGAACCGGAACCTCCAGCACCACGGTCTCCAGCCTTAGTACCTCCAGCAGCAGCACCTCCAGAACCGGCACCTCCAGCTCCAGGGTCTCCAGCTCTTGTACCTCCAGTAGCAGCACCCCCAGAACCGGCACCGCCAGCACCAGGGTCTCCAACTCCAGAGTCGACAGCACCAGCTCCAAAGCCTCCAGCCCCAGTACCTCCAGTCGCAGCACCCCCAGAACCGGCACCTCCAGCGCCAAGGTCTACAGCCCCAGTACCTCCAGCAGCGCGACTCCGACGGCAGTAGCACTGAGCGTACCACTCGCGTAGCTGCTGTCGCGAGAGAGGTACCAGGAGGACCGCCAGGAGACTCAGCACCCCCCTAACTAGCACCTCCAGCTCCAGCAGTACCGCCAGTCCTGGCAGCTCCAGTACCCCCGGTACGAGCACGTCCAGAACCAGAAAAAGCTGTACTCCCAGCGTCACCACGACCATTAGCTCCAGCAGACTCAGCACCCCCGGACCTGGTACCCTCTGGCTCAGCACCCCCAGGCTCCGCACTCGTAGGCTCAGCACCCCCAGGCTCCGCACCCCCAGACTCCGCACCCCCAGACGCAGCACCCCGAGCAACACCGCCCCCAACAACACTAGAGGCAACCGGAACCGGCCGCAGAGGCGGCGAAGACGGTCGAGGTGGAAAACCCGGAGAGGTCACCAAGCGTGGTGAGCGGCGGAGGGGCACCGCGGGGCCTCCAACTCCCAGGGTCGACAGCACTAGCTCCAGGGCCTCCAGCCCCAGTACCTCCGGCAGCAGCACCCCTAGCAGCAGGACCTCCAGCCCGAGCAGCACGACGCCTCAGGCGGGTATGCCACGCAAGCCACTCTCGTAGCTGCTGTGGTGAGAGAGGTCCCCGCCGGGAAAAGAGATTCGGTGGAACGCCAGATAACTCAGCACCCCCCGACCCGGCACCCTCCTGCTGAGCACCCTCAGGCTCCGCAGTCGTAGGCTCAGCATCCCCAGGCTCCACACCTCCCAGCACCTCACGCACAGGCTCAGCACCCCCAGACGCAGCACCCCGAGTAGCACCACCCCCAGCAGCACCAGAGTCAACAGTAACCGGCTACAAAGGCGGCGAAGAAGGTCGCGGCGGGAAACCCGGAGGGGTCTCCAAGCGTGGTGTGCGGCGGTAGGCCGCCGGGGCGTCAGCAGCAACGTCACCCCCCTCAGCTGGGCCAGAGGTGTCGGAAGTGACCTCCAAAGGCTCAGCCAAGGGGAGTGGGTCTACCTGAGACACACCTGAAGGAGCAGGACCCTGAGGGGGGAGGGGGTCTACCGGAGGGGGACCTGGAGCGAGGAAAAGCGGCGGGGGAGGGAGAGGGGCTTTGCGGTAGGGGAAGAGTCGGTAGAAAGGAACCGACTCGTCAAAGGTGACGTCCCAAGAGGTAAAGACGCGGCGCGAGGTGGGGTGGTAAAACTGCCAGCCAGGCGCGTCAGAGACAAAGCTAAGGAAGACACAGGGAATGGTGCGAGAGGAGAGCTTGTCCGCGGACGTATCGCGGACAAGGGCACGAGCACCCCAGACCCGGAAACGAGACGCATCGCCAACCTCTCCCGTCCAACGCAGTGTGGGCGAGGTGTCTGGCAAGGAGACACGGGGCCAGAGGTTGAGCTAATGCGCGGCGTACCGGACCACAAACGGCCACAGAAAATGGGGAGCCGCCGCATGGATCAAGGAGGTACGAGCGATCTCCATGACCAGGCCAATGCGGCGCTCAGCAACCCCATTTTGCTGCGGTGAGCCCGGAAGCGTGAACGACTGCTCAATGCCCTCCCCCTGACAGAAGGCCCGCAAGAGGTCGGAGGTGAACTCACCACCTCTGTCAGAGTGCAGACTCAGTACAGGAAGGTCCGTACGGAAACTCCGGCGGAGCTGGAGACGAACTGCTCGGATCCAAGGGATCAGAACAGCAGGGACCTCACCCTTGGTGCACAAGGGGAAGACCGTGGTGTAACGCGAGTAGTCGTCGACAACCAGCAGAAAGTACTGTTCACCGCCCTGTCCACGAACGCGGGCTGGGCCCCACACGTCCAGGTGGAGGGTCTGCAGGGGAGCCTCTGTCGGGGGAAACGAGGAGTGAGGAGCGGCGCGCTGCCGCCCCTCGACGCAAGGAAGGCAGGGTGGCGCAGGCGAGGCAGGGAGGGGAGGGAGAGACCTGGGAAGACCAGACACAAGGAGGCGACGGTGCGTGCCTTGTAGACGTGGCAAGGAGGGGTGACCCAGACGGTGGTGCCAGAGAAGAGTCTGGTGCGACAGGGAGCGACACTCACAAGGGGAGGCTACCAGACCTGACGCAGACACCTGACCGACAGCAGCGACCTGAGGAGACACAGTCGTCAGTGTGTAAAGACTCGACCCTGGCCGACGGGTGAACGTGGCCAGGTGACGGCCAGTCTGTGCACACGTGCAGATCGCCACACGCTGCCATGCAGGGGTGAAGGTATTAATCCTCACATCCTGAAGGGCAGCGTTGCTCACCAAGTTCGTAGAGAACGAGGGGAGGTGAAGACATGAAAGTGAGCCAGACGGAACCGCCGGGCACGGAAGCACAGTGGTGGACCGTGCAAGGACTGGGCCCCCTGAGGGGTCAGCCAGAGACACTGCAACAGGTGCAGGGAGTGGTGTGAGTGCGGTACTGTCGCGAAAGAAACAGCGGGAAGCACCTGAGTCAAGAGTGAAGGTGTACGAGGCCTCAGCAGGCGGAGTACCTGAGAGAGCAGACTCTCTAGCACCTAAGGCAGCAGCCTCACTAGCACCTAGAGCAGCAGCCTCTATACCGGGGTCGTACTGCACACACAGGTAACAGTCACCCTCAGAACCACTAGGCAAAGCATACATGGCAGTCAGGATGGCGTCATAGTCTAATGCAAAGACATCAACGCCCGACCTAAGCAGCTCAATCCAGTGGGGGAGCTCAGCCTCGTCGCCAAACTCTGCATGCTAGGCATTACTCAAATAGGAGAAGTAGCGGGACTGTGCGTGACCAGGTGTCCCACAGGTCTGACCAGCCCGACGACCTGTGCGAATGACGTACGAGCAGCGAGCAGTACGCGAAGACCCCCCACGCTGGACTGCTGCTACGGCCACCACCACTCCCACTGTGGCTACCACCGCCGTGACCACTCCCACCGCTACTACGAAATGATGTCATAGCGGGCAAGCTAGGAGGAGCGCGACCTCCAGGGCAGTACGGAGTGAAGGCAGTAGCACGAGTAGCAGCAGCAGTAGGAAGAGCAGCAGAGCGGTCGGTGAGGCTAGGCTGTAGCACCTCCAGTAGCAGCAGCAGTAGTACGAGTAGTAGGGCGCGCGTTGTGCAGGGTCGCAGGGCGAAACGCGCGGGCTGCAGCAGGGCGCGACGCGCGGGGCAGCAGGGCACAACACACGGGCTGCAGCAGGGCGCAATGCGCGGGCTGCAGCAGGGTGAGACGCGCGGGGCAGCAGGGCGCGGCGCGCGGGCTGCAGCAGGGCGCGACGCGCGGGGCAGCAGGGCGCGACGCGCGGGCTGCAGCAGGGCGCGACGCGCGGGGCAGCAGGGCGCGACGCGCGGGCTGCCATAGGGCGTGTCGCGCAGGGCAGTAGGGCGCGACGCACGGGGCAGCAGGGCGCAACGCGCGGGCTGCCGTAAGTGTTGGGTGCAAATTTACATTGCACGACATCCTGCCGTCTGAATGCATTTGCGTGTGAATGGTGTGTTCGTGTGTTTGTTTGCTTTCGCATTTTTCGCTTGATGCATTTGCAGGTACTCGCGCAATGTGCGCTTCGGCACAACATTGTATGCGCTATGAACAGTGCAAGCAGAAAGGACGAGCTCGCAAAGGAACCCAAGATGGAAGCTTTGCAGTTCGGTTGAGTTGATTGCGCAGATTCAGTTCTATCCAACTCGGAATTGTACTGTTTTGTTTGGTTAACTATAGTGTAGCAGGGAAGGCACTATAGGGGTACAATTTAGGTGAAGGTTGGATGTTGTTTGTCTGTATCTGCATGCTACAAGGCCAGGGGAAACCAGCGGAACCAGCATTTGGCTGGTTGGGCAAAGACAAAACAGGTTCTGTTTTTAGAACCTGAACCTGGTTGTTGTTTTCCCAAGTTGGAAAAACAGAACCAGAGGTTGTTTACCAACCTACCACCTGCTATTTTTTCCAGCCAGGTTGGTTCTGTTGCTTGGAATTATTTGGGATCATCCCTGGTTGTTCCCAGGTTGATTCCCAAGGTCCTTGCTAGCTAGAACTATTTAATCCTTCTCTGTTTGTACCTGAATATAGTCAAATTGATTCATGCGAATTCCTTCCTCGCTGGAATTTCGTTTCTGCGCTATTCGACGGCGGAATGCTACCCGAGTCAACGCTAGTACGCTAGCACTCTAATGCTAGGCAAACACCGTCTGAGCCATAACTTAGTAATGGCAGAACTTTTCGCGAGGCAACTTGGCTCATTTTAAAGCTCTTGGAGCGAGCTTCGATATAGCGAATTCTCAGCTTAATCCGACCGACGGTCTGCATGGCACGCTGCGCGACGTTCAAGGTACTCTTGCTGTTTTGACTAAGTCCTTCTTGATCCCTCTCTCTACAAACTCGGACCCGAGGATAGGGGCTGGTCTTGTACCAGGCACCCAGGGACCCTTGGAGGTGACCCCGAGGAGAGGTTTTAAGTTTGATTAAGTCCTAATAGCTTGAGTTTATTAGGCCCTTACACCAACAAGCTGGTATCAGAGCTGCGTTATAGTGATCCTCGTTATAGGTAGCTATGGCGGGCAACACCTCGGCGGGAGCTGGTGAATCTTCAGCCCAAGATCGTAGCGGCAGCCAAGATTCTGGTCTTTCAGCGCCAAGGGGAGCGCGAACAAACCAGGGCTCGCTTGTCAAGGAGGTGCTGAAGAATTTCACCGTCGAGAAGTTCAATGGTGAGGGCTATGATGATTGGGCCTGGAAAATGCAATTATATTTCCGTCAGATCGGTTTGCTGAAACTAATGATTGGGGAGGAGCCTAGACCGAGTGACCCCACGCTGCAGGAAGATTGGGACGAGCGCTCCTCGGCTGGCTACTATTTGATGTCGCAGAGTTTGGAGCTGAACCAGCGTCACCACGTCATGCACCTGCTGCCGGAGGTTGAATGCGGTCCGAAGGCGTGGACCGTGTTGAAGGAGCTGCACACCCCGACCTCCGTTGTCGCAACGTTGATGCTGGAGAGGGAGCTGTCCGCGTTGCGCCTGAGCGAGGGAGAGCCGGTGCAACCAGTCCTGGACAAGATGCGCGACCTGTACGCGAAGTTG